AATTTGGACATTTTCACTTTGGGGTGTACTCACTTTTGTGGCCAGTGGTTTAGACATTAATGGCTGTGTGTTGAGTTATTTTGAGGGGACAGCAAATTTACACTGTTATACAAGCTGTACACTCACTACTTTACATTGTAGCAAAGCGTCATTTCTTCAGTGTTGTCACATGAAAAGATATAATAAAATATTTACAAAAATGTGAGGGGTGTACTCACTTCTGTGAGATACTGTACATATAACTTATGAGTCCTATATTATATTATTTTATATGTGTGCTTACCATTTAGACACTGGCAGTATTAAATATTGACTCTTAAAACTATTTAATATTCTGTAAAGGAGTGTTTGTGTAAGTTATTGATTTCTTTTTAAATGCTATAAAAGTATAAATTTTAACTAAATAAATATATCCTCCATCTATGTTCTTGTATTTTTTCCCCTCATTGGAATCACTGCAGTTTCTCTAATATTATGCCGTTTTCTTACTTGTTTTCTTGTATCTTTGTAACAATTTCCAGTCATTTAGGTGAACTTTTGTTTTCATCTTTGAATCACTATAATAACCTGCCCTAAATTAATGCTGAACCTGAAACTGATATGCAAGAACAGAATATTTTTATATATGCATTTGTGCCTCATATTTACATAATAGTTGCAGAGTGTCCTGACATGTACTTCAACAGCACAGAACAGTCAATATTGAAGATATTCAGCTACTCTGACCTCATTTTAAGGTGTTTGTTGAGAGAATGTTTGAATTCATTTATTTCTGCAAACTCATGCACCCAAATTGTATCCTTCAACAATCTGTTGATGAAAGAAAGGATATATTGTTGGTTTCAAAATTACATAATCACTAAAAACAAACATCAACAAATCCAACTGATATCACTCCAATGCAAATGGAAACATCAGAGTTAAATAGATTGTCAGTATCTTTATCTTGCTATTTGCTGTCATAGTACTTGATTCTAATCATCAAGCATTAATGTAAAAAAATCAGATTTCAGAAAACTAAAACATTACATCACAACAACAACTTAATCATATAATACATCTATGATGGTTTTTATATAATGTGCTGAGAGACTTCTGAGTGCCTAAATTTATAAGATTTAATGGGAAACTCATTAAGAAGGACGGGAAGCTAAGAAAAAATATTTTACAATTCTTTTATTGTTTGAATGCATTCATTCTATTTTTTTATAATTTTTTCATATATATATATATATATATATATATTACGTTATGCATTATACATCATTTTACACAGTATAAATACAGGTAATTACGCTCCTAAGAATTCTTGAAATGAATAGCTAATAGAACTAAAAAATACAATTTAAAAGTTTGAGTTTGATACATTTCTGAGGTAATATTTTAATTAAAGACATCAATATAAAATATAATAAATAAAAATATATCAGTACTTTTTAATAAATAATTCAGTAGAGGTGGCCAGCACCATCTCATACATGTTAGAAACTATGACATTTCTACTTAGTATTTCATGATATTACCTACATCAGTCGATTGGAAAGATTCTTGCACAGTTCTTATGAAAACAATGTCATTGCCGCAGCATTGCAAGGTAGTTTAAATTTTAACTGACTTGAAAAGGTGAAAGGACTGACAAACAGTGACCTAAACTAGCCTCAACACCAACTGAGGTCCTGAGGCCCTAGATTGCATCATATACAGTTCTTGGTGATATGTTTCCTCGAAACCATTTGGTTTCTTAACGTGATGTTGTAAGTTCTTTAGGTCAGTGTATTGGTTTTAGGAATCATCCAAAAAAAAAAAAAGTTCTCCTGGGTGGTTCACAGATGGTTTTCTTTAGTGCAAGGCTTATAAAATTGTTAATGAACTTTTATTTTTAGGTCAGTAATTCAGAATGGATCAGATGGTGCACCTTGCTTGTGTTTCTTCTGTTTTTGTAAATTGGGACTGACAGGGCTCTTGGAGAGCAGTACGTGTAAAGGGTCGTCATAGGAAGTGATGGTTTCTTTAGAAACATTACTGCTGCACTCGTGCTCATGCTCTCGATTTGGTCTTCGATGATTAGCAGTCCTTGACCTCGGATTCTCAGATCCCAAGGGATCAGATGGGTCAATATACTGGCTTCTTCTCTGTCTGCGATGTGTTTTATGGTTGTTTGACTGCAGAGAATGATGTAATTGTGCACTATAAGCCTCGGTGTGACTTTTACCTCCAACAAGCTTGATCATTGCATCACTCCTCCATGGGCACAAAGCATGATGGGAATTCTTTCCGTCAATTGTTTTAAAGCAGTCCTTATTAATGCCATGAACCTGAGGATAATAATGTGTTTTATTAAAGCTTTTTTAAATTATTAAATCCTTTTAGCTATATTGATCCATAATGTAGTAATTAGAATGGCAAAAGTCTTTAAAACATTATAAAATCATATATTGTTTACAATATTGATAAAAAACGAATACTCACTGAAATATATGTGTTTTTAGTTCTATCCAAGCACATTATATTATTTGTTTTAATATGAAGTAGTAAGAAGCAGTCCTTGCTTCTTTTCTTCAGTAAAGCAGCTCCTTTATGAATTAAAAGAGCACCAATAATGTTATTAACAGTCAAAATATGTAGAAATGTGCCTGTTTATGTATAAAAAACAACAACTTACCTTTGGACTCTCGAGAAATGGCTTTCCTCATTCTTTTACTAAATGTCATCATCAGGAAATATCCGTATGTACTGATCATGGTCTCCATATTGCTCAGATTTTCTCTTGTTAAATCTGTTCGGATTGTTTCCTTTTGTATAGGATGACAAGTTATTAGTGCTGAGGTGCTTAGAGCAGCCAGACAGAGAAGAGGGACTGTGTGCATGATCAGACTGAATCAGGCAAGAGCTCAGGATACAGTGAGGCATCTCACCGCTAGTTTATATAATTGGGGGAAATGAGTTCAACGGTCATGTTTGCAGACCAAGAACTTTAAAGTTGATCAGCTACAACTGGCAGTTGTAACCAGATGCCGGGTTCACCAGCTTTACATAAGTTAACCTAGTTTTGAAGGGACAAATTCTGAAGTTACAACTTGCGCTACTAAATATTTTGCACCATTAACCTAATTGTCATTGCTCACCTCTTTAATGCTTTCTTTTGTGCATAAGTGTTTATCTTTTTTTTTTATAGAAAAATATAGCCTATATTATGCTATTCACTTTCAATATAATTTTTTTTACCGTTAATAACATAAGCAAAATTAAGTTAGATTCAAGGCTAAACTGAATTCAAGGCATTTCATCCCAATTTCTGCTCACATAGGCCTATTTAAAGGCTGTGATTGGATTACTGAGAGCAAACGTCATAATTTGATTTGATAATTTCACAGATTTTACAACATAATTGAAGTTGGAAAAAAAATCTGAAATGGCTGTAGGACTAAGGTGCGTTGTCATTCATTCATTCATTCATGTTGTTTTTAATTTATTTATTTCCATTTTGACCAATATCTGCTTTATTGCTTATATATCTTATATTTAAGATATTTTATATTTTTAAGTAAATGCTACAGCCTTACAAGAAAAAAATGTAATGTATTTATTTTATTTATTGTTAATTTATTTGCTTTACTTAGTCTGTGCGTAAAAAAGGTATGTGAAATCAAACGTAAAAGAGACAGGATGGTAATTTTACGCAAAAACTTATGCATTTCTGATTTTGACCACATGAGGGGGCGCAAACACAACTAATACTATCCATATTTTTTAACCCCCTGCTAACTAAACATTTCAGACCTGTTTCAGTAAAAACCTATTTAATTATGATTAAAGTATAATGCAAAAACACAGAGGCTAAAAAACAACCTTTTATTTTCATTTCAGTAATACAGTTGGCTGCTGTGCACAGCACATACGTATAAAAATAAAAGGAAACATTTTCTTAATATATTAGAATTCTTACTCATTTTTTCTTTTTTCTTTTTTTTTTTCAGAGAACAAAATGATTGGCAAAAAGTTTGTTGTCTCCAACAAATCGTACAATCATTTCAACAAATTGGAACTAAGGCAGAAGGTGAGGTATATGTTAGAAAATAGGAGGGGAATTTGGAGGAGGCGTCTGCCCCTCAGTGCAGGAATACAAAACTGAGAAAACACAAAGGCTGCATACGTACAAGGACACACACACATGCACAACCCATTACAATCATCTCGCAAGCCACAAATGGGGCCATTTCAAAGCTGGAGACAAAGTACAGTACAAAGAAACCGGTGGAACTTACATGAGAAATAGCTGTTTCTGTATAAGCACTTAGTTTAGAGGGCTTAACTTCTAGATGCACATTTCTGTCCATCATTTTGCATTAAAAACCATGCAAAATTCTATTCATTTCATCTAAGTTTAAAGAGATCAGACATGTGATAGAGGACAGGGTACAGTGGAGATACATATCAATAAATTAACATCAGTCATCACATACATAAAAAAGCAGTCATTTTGACAGTTTCATTGAAGCAATCACATTGCATGCCATATTTGGGGTACAAAGAATTTTAAATCCATAGCCATCAATACTAATATATAGTTCATATTTTCAACATAGTACAGCTGAAAATCTTTCTTTATTCTCAGAACATTAAAAAATGACCATAGCCATAGACCATAGTTTTAATTTTGCTTAGTTCACCCAAAAATTAAAATTCTGTCATTATTTATTCACCCTCATGTCGTTCTAAACCTGTGTAACTTCCGTTCTTAAGTGCCCATATAATGAGAGTCAATGGGGTCCAAAACATTCTTCAAAATACCTTCTTTTACATTCCACAGAAGACAAAATGTCACACTGATTTGGTACGACATGAGGGTGAGTAATCTTCATTTTTTGGGTGAAATATACCTTTAAGAAAAAAGTCACAAACACACTCCATGAGCATATTGTATATACTCTAAATATCAGTGTACCTGGCTCAAACATCCCAGCCATAACTGTTATAAAAATAACATCCTTCTCCTTTGTATCATTAAGATGTCTCAAAATGTAGAAGCAGTAATGCAAGAGAAATCAAGGTCAATATGTACTTGCTAGTACTGCAGTGATTATCAAACCTTTAATTCTCTCCTACACATTGCAGCTGCGTCAGAAATGCAACACGTGTTTTGCACGTGTTTTAAGGATATAGTAGCAAAGATAAAAACATCTTGATTGTTGCAGCATGAGTAGCAACCGCAAGAAAAATGAAGATGGAAAATGAGAGCCTCAGCCTTTAATTGAATATTCTAATAATAAATTAGTTATTATTTGAATATAAAGGAGTTTATTTCTTTAAAGAACTTCACCCAAAAATGAAAATTTGCTTGAAATTTACTCACCCTCAGACCATCCAAGATGTAGATGAGTTTGTTTCTTTATTGGAACAGATTTGGAGAAATTTAGAATTATATTACTTGCTCACCAATGGATCCTCTGCAGTGAATGGGTGCCGTCAGAATGAGAGTCCAAACAGCTGATAAATTTTGTGGTCATCACAATAATCTACAAGTAATCCACACTCAGTCCATCAGTTAACATCTTTTGTGAAAAGTTGAGTGTTTGTAACATCAAAATTCACCAACATATTTTTTAGAACTCTTTTGGACTTTTTTTCTTGTAAGCTTTGCTTGGTCTGGCATACTTTTTCTCTTCAGACAAAACAAGCAATACTATGGATTATAGGACTCGTTTGAAGTTAAAAATATGTGGATGGATTTGTTTACTACAAATGTGAAGCTTTTCACTTCACAAGGCATTAAGTGATGGACTGGACTCATGTGGATTACTTGTAGATTATTTAGAATTTTTTAAAAGCTGTTTGGACTCATTCTGACAACACCCATTCACTGCAGAGGATCCATTGGTGAACAAATAGCCTAATGTAATGCTAAATTTCTCCCAAATTTTTTCAGATGAAAAAGCAAACTCATCTACATCTTGGATAGTCTGAGGGTACATTTTCAGCAAATTAAAATTTTGGGGTGAACTATTCCTGTAATTGTATAGCTAAAAAAAGTGGGGCGAGGGAAGGGCAATGCCTACAAATACCGAAGTTCAATTCAATTTCATGTGCGACTTGAAGCAAATTCTCTAGATAAAGTCAATTGACTTGGGAATTTAAGAGTGTGCACAGGTGTTTGGGTCTATGCTTGTATTCAAACATAAAGTAATGCGCAAATTATGTTATCTCGAACAGATTAAGACGGTTGTATTGGTTTTTACATTCCAAAGACTTTTTGAGGTGGAGTTCAAGTATGTAGTCAACATGTTGGTGAATGAGCCCTCACCGACTGTAGAGGTAAAACATAAGACACCACTGACTAATATCAATACATACTTAATCAAGGACTTAATCACACGCTATATTTAATCTGATAAATCAAATCAGCTGTTTTCTTATTATGCTATCATATAATCGTGCCACATAATTCAAGGTTAATGCAATTCTGTGCATTTCACTAGCTTGATCAGTATATTAATTCAAATGGAAGCACCCAAACCTTTCAGGACTAGCCGTCCACAGACTTTCAGTCAAATTCTGAACTTACTTGAGGCGTAAAATAGCCCTCTCTGAGTTTAACTCCCAATAAGGATGCATGCAATCGGTTTTTAATGTCGACTATTTGGTTATTGATCTAAATATGGAACAAAAACCTCTTTCTTGCATGCATAAAAAGAGGCAAAATAGCAGAGGCTAAGGCATCACCTAATCATGAAAAATAAGTGCTTTCAAAAATGGTGGAACAGATGAAGATCAAAGTGAACTGATATTTATTTTTCCCTCCATAACTTTTTTCAATGTGGACGTGGCTCTTTGAGGTAATAAAAAGTATCCATTTCACTGTAAAAGCTAAGGATGTTAGTCCAATGCCGGGTAAGGTTTACACCAGTTATGGCAAGCACCCATAAAAAGTGAGAGCAAAAAAAGCTCCTTGACTCTCATAATATTCATAATAGAAATCATAAGCATGGCATGTACACAAAGTAAGCTAACGAAATATACATATATTATTATTATTTCAACGAGAATAAATACTGTAAGTGTTATTTTAGTTCTTTGCAGTTCACCTCTTAGCATGTTTGGGTTACCTACGAGAACATCCAATATGTGCAAATTATTGTGTTATTGCCAGGTTTGCTCATAAACGTGGGAGGAAATGTGTGACAGTCATTGCTGGGGAAGCCTTGTAGCCTCGCTTCAAGCGGCCGTGTTTGCTGAGGGCGATATAAAAGCCCTTGTAAATGGAAGACTCATATGCGTTGTAATTGTTGGGCAGCAGTGTCTCCTTGAACTTGCACTCGTCACAGAAGGCCCTCTAAAAATGGTATGGATTAGATAGTTAGTTTGGTATTACTCCTCCCATCCTCCTTCTAAGCCCCATACACTACTTCTCCATCACATACTCTCAATATACACTCCTTTCTAATTTAACTAGGGTAAAGTGCAGGAAAACTCACAAAGCAACACTACAGTTAATCTTACACCAGTAATGATCTAACTAAGAAAAGCTTTAAAAACAAAAGCAAGTCATTTCCAGGTTCTGTGGATTGAATGTTAGATTCCTTTTCAAGGCCCATGCTGCTTCTAATGGAGATGCCAATCAGCTGAATATCTGAAAAGCCAAACTTATCAGTCCATCAGTTTTATCTCCAATTTCTATTGCGTAAAAATTACTTTGTCTGCTTAACTGATCTCTGACTGTGCCAACAGCATAAATCTTTTAAGTAACTTTAATTAACAGATTTTATCAATACATCAGATTTATTGCATGCACAAAAATGTGGAACTGTTAATAACATGCACATAGTCTGTATGCTAAACAAAGCTCTAAGTTCACAATTAATTTATGTGTTTTAAAAAAGTAGAAGCTGCTGCCA